GCTTCCGTTCTGATGTGAGACACGCACGCTCCATTCTGGTCTTCACCCACTCATTCATTTGCTTCGTGTTTGACTTTTTCTAGCCACCTTCTTGTTCCAAAGGGTTCACGTTTCTGTTGCCCTGGCGATGCCAGTCTGTTAACCTCTGTCCCACTCACCCTTCTCAACTTTTCATTGTTTCTTCATGTTTGTCACGCACGGCATCAGATTCAAACCGTAGGTATCACGAACTTTTTGCGTTGGGATTTGAGGTCAACACATGTTCTAAACTTTGGAAAGCTCTTGAAGCAAGGCTGTGTGCTCTCTTGAGACCACGAACGTGTGCTCCTGGAACATCAGGAGGGGAAGGTGAAGATCCCGGCCGGAACGCAACTCCTCTGTCGTACCAATAAGTTCATGCGATCATGTTCGCAGTGCATCCCGACAGCCATCAAGAGCCTGCTAGGTTGCGCATCAAATGTCGGGTGGTCTGACTTCGAGGCCGAACGCGGCGCACAAAAATTGCACGACCATTTTCATTTAGCATATTTTTGTTATATTGTGGGTACCCCCGCTGGTAATCCTTAATCCTAAGGGGGGTTATGGATTACAAACCATCGGATTGTCCGGTTTGGGGTGGGCTACGGGTTAAAACTCAAAACCCGCGTTTTGAGACTAGGATTGCGGATCAGAGCTTGAGGCTGTTCGGCATGTGCAGCTCCTTCCCATTGGTGAAACAACTCTGGAACACCTTTGGCTCCATGGCTCCATTACCCCAGCTGGTGCGATGGTTATAAGGCATTATAAGGACCCGTATGACCCCCAAATCCAGTGGTTTAAGTTGGTTGCTTCCAAATCGGGGTTGTGAGGATTCCTATGGCCACGAGGACACTTCACCATCCCGATGGCCACAAACACCCTTTACAATCCAGAACCCCCCAATTCAATCGTTTGAGTTGGTTGCAAATCGGGTTCGTGAGGGTCCCTATGGCCAGAAGCACCCTTCACCATCCCGATGGCCAGACGCACCCTTCACAATCCAGAACGCCCAATTCAGTAGTTTGACCCGGTTGCCTCCTTAGGCTGTGATGATCCCTATGGCCAAAAAACCCCGCCTAAACCCACAGCCAAAATTTCAATGGTTTGAGTTGGTTGCTTCCAAATCGGGGGTTGTGAGGATCCCTTCATATGGTTTTATAGTTTTAAATCAACAGCCCCCCATTCAGGAGTTGGGATCCTTTCCATCCTACGGCTTATAGGGATTACCGATTACAAGGCTGGGTAAGGATTACGAGCTGCTGCGGATTAAGGGCTGTTCGGATTACAGGCCCTTCTCGGATTAGCAGGATTGCGGATTCGTTTGGTAGGCGCGCTCATTTTGATGAACCCTGTTTTAGTATTTTTAGTTTCTAAACGAAGTGACCATATAAGGGGTGTGGGGTGACAAAATTGTGAGCACAATGCCCTTTTTAGCTGCACTGTGACTGAGGCACTCACGTGGCAAACAAGACCGGGACACATGCCGAACAAAAGCAATCCCGGTCCGTCTGCTGATCGAAATTTTCATTACGCAAACGCCAGCCTTTGCGGAGCAAAACCGTGAATTCTTCATATTATTTTTATTGACTGGTTCTTTTCGTTTTTTGCAAACAGTGTGTTTGCGTGCGCGCGTTTGAAAAACAATTGCGCAAAACAACTGTGCCGGCTTTCAATGAACTTGGCCTCTTATGGGCCTTGTAGAGATTACCGAATCAGTACGACCGCAAAAACACCAATATTTTTTGAAGAAGGTGTGCTGGAAACCTGTTGAAATCGTGAACAACAGTTTTTCGGACACCTGTTTCCAAACCCTTTACCACGACTTGCATGTTGGTTTCTGCTGGCTGTCCTTCTCCGCTTCTCAGGTTGTGTGCTCTCTTACGGCATGACTCCCTGCATGCACAGCGTTGAGGGAGATCGTGTGTTGACCGTGTTAAAGATCACGGCGCGCAATTCACGAAAGGTAGCTTGAGCTACCTGAGTTCTCCTTGCTTGAGCAAAAATGTATTACAATCAGGAGTTGGGATTGTGCATTGAGTTTGGTCCTGTAAGAGTTGATTCTGTTCGTGGGGGGGGCCCCCCCCCTGGATCAAATCCCCCCTGCGCCGGTTCACGCCGTCATGGACTTCTAGCAGGGTTACTTGTGATTGCCTGCTACCTTTCGTTCGCCCCCTCCTCTCTCAAGTATGAATTTTCCGTTCCAACTGTTTGTTGACAACAAATCCAAAAGTTGCCCCTACCATGCGTGCGAATGCCTGCAATTGATTTGAATTATTCAGTGAATTATACCCGCGTAGACCCCTAACAGTTTGTGCCTTTATGAAGTAAGCCAGAGACGAACTGTCAAACAGTCAACGCTTCAAATCAACTCGGACCTTCTGGGTTTGTTCCAGCGCCTGGCTCAATTGGCTCAAGGTCAGGACCAGCAATTCAGACGAAAACTGTACATACGCTAGTCTGTTGAATATACTGAATTGTATTGAGATGTGGCTTCATCATGCTGTGTTGCGTTAAAAGATGTTTAAAGCTTTCAACCACAAGTGAAGACCCGGCCAAGGCCAAGAGTATGTAATGAGGAGACAAGCAAAAGACAACTCCGGCCAAGTGTGCCCAGAGTAGTCTGAGGCAAGCGGAGGCAAGTGTAACAAGAAGGGGGACAAGTGGGAGACAAGTGGGAGACAAGTGCATATAAAATCATTTGACCAAGAGTGTCTAAGCAGGGAACTAGCAAAGAGGCAAGTGGAGACAAGTGTAAAGACATCCTGCCAAGCGTATCCAGGGTAGGCCGAGACAAGTGGAGAGAAGGGTAAGGAGGGAAACAAGTGTAACATCATCCGGCCGAGAGTATCCCAGCAAGGGAAAAGCAAAGATACAGTATAAAAACATCCGGCCAAGTATCCGGAGTAGGCCGAGACAAATGTAAACTCATCCAGCCAAAACCTATTTAAGAAGGCCAAGAGGACAAGTGGAGACAAGTGTTAAAAACACCCGCCCAACTGTATCCAGAGTAGGCTCAGACAAGTGGCCGGCCAAGAGCAAGGAGACAAGCAGGGAGACAAGTATAAAGACACCAGGTAGGCAGACGAAACAGCAGCGCAGGAATCCAAGCCCGGAGACAGGAAAATCATTCGGCCTATAATCAGAATATAAGAGCCCCACACAGGTAAACATGGAAGACAAATGCAAAATCATAGCACGTACTGGGACAGAAGTGGGGGACAAACGCAAAATCATGCGACCAGAAGACCCAGAGTGTACTGGAGACAAGGCAGGCAAGTGGAAGACAAGTGTGGCATCATGCTGCCAGAGCACCAGAGCATATTGCAGACAAGGAAGACAACGAAGACAAGGGAGACAAGTGTGAAATCATGCAACCAAAGCAACCACAATGTGGCTGAAACGCAAGCCCGGAGACAAATGTAATATCATGCGGCCCGGGCATGCAACCCTTTCAAAGGAGTAGGAACTCCTCACAGGTAAACCTGTTTGGGGAATAAAGGTTTAATCCATCCCGTTGTGCCTTTGGGACCGCCGGCGTGCTGTCATTGTTATTGCAAGTGCTGCCCCATGCACCGATTCAGTTTTGAAGCAGGCTAGTCCTCATCGCACGTTTTGCTTTCGCCACAGGTGTCGTCATATCAACAACGTTGCCGCCATGTCTTCCACAAGTGTGGCTGCTGGCATTCACCCACCACACTTCCGAACTACTTGTGATGGAACATCTCGCAGCTTGCGCTGGCATCGTTGGCGAAAACATGTCAGCGACCATGAATGTTTCCAGGGACAGTATATTTGCATATATTTGCCACAGAGTCGCTATGACCAAGATCAAGTTCTTGAAACTTTTGGTTTGGCAACTTGCAAAATTGTTGTTTTTGGGAGCTGTTTTTGGGGCATTGGGCAATCCTCGTCGGAGTTGCACCGGCATTTGCGCTAGAAATCCCCAAAAGCGGTGCAATGGCCATCCACGGCACAAAAATGTTGATTATGGTTCATGATGGTTCATGACATGTCAACCTTTTCTCGCTGCTCGGGGTGGTCACTTTGCTGCGCTTTGTGGCTTATTTTGGCTAGTGGAAATCTGGGAACACTGGCGTCAATTGACGTCGACCTTTTTCGGACATGGGCCCGGCCCTCTGAGATGACCGGCGCCAAAATCAGTTCATATGCGTTTGTTGCTGGACAAGAATGCCAGGTGCGCAATGCTCATGTCAGGCCTGTCGTGCGTGAAAAATGGACTTGTGCACAAGAGTGGGTACCGTCGATCCTTGTCCGCAAGGCCGTGCCAGAGGCAGACTACACAGATGAGCTGCCCGTTTCGCCTCTGAAGGCATTGTTTTTGACCGGGTCGGCGTTGGCCTTGAAAAGAGAAAACCTATTTTTCACGCTAATTTTGTTCTGACGGCAGCTTTTTGTCAGGAATTTTACGTTTCTTCTACCGCCGAATGTTCGAGTGAGGATGTGCCTTCCTTAGTTTCTTAAAGTGTTTTTTGCTTCTTCAACCATTACTTTTGTTTCATATTTTCTGACGTATGTGGATTTTGCAGGTTGCAGGTTGCACGGGTGGAGCCGAGGTTTTTGCAGTCCACACTCCTGGTTCCACCAGTGCCTTTGCTGAATCGCCATCCGTGTTGGCAGCTGTTTTGATGAGCTGCACACCATGGGCTTCCCATCCAGTTCAATGCCAGGTGTCCCGAGTGATGAGTGCAGTTGCGGCAATTTTTCCAAAGAGGCATGGACAGGAAGTGCATTATGACGGGGTTCAGTGTTCCAAGACATCAGCCTCCATAACTTGCCAACTTGTCACAATGTTGCTTTGCCAAGAAGGTCTGACACTTCATGGAGGACTATGATGGTTTCCTTTCATGCATAATGCTATAAATACTGTAGGGGCCCTGCAATTCTTGCATGCATTTATTGCGCGAAACTATGTGAAACTTGGTTGAGAGCTCTTGATTTTATAAGCAGGTCCTCCATGACACATGTTTGGTAAATCAACTGCCAGCGCCTGCCAGTCGGGCTTCAAGGAAACAGATTCCCAAGAGGACCAGCGTTGATGATTCGGGTTTCACAGGGCCTTTGAGGGCCTTTGAGATGTTCAGTCTTTTCTGCTTCCGTAGCTGTTTAGTCGGATTTTTTGGCAAGACGCTTTAGCGGGCCAGTCCTCCATGCTTAGAATAGTCGAATATAGTCGATAACTCCGGAAGGAAGGGCATTCCAACGAAAGGTACATATTATAGGTCTAGGTACAAACAAATCATGCTCCATGTTCACAATCAGATTAACCGGGACCGCCCGCGTGGCAGTTGAGCCGTTGAGCCCGTTTGCTTGCAACTAGATGATTGAGCCTGGCTGGATTTGCAGCCACCGCCAGCCCCTTTGCAGTTTCAACCGCTTGGACCGCGAGGACCTCCTGTTTCGAGGTCAAAGTGTCCGGAGCTACCGCAGTTATCACTTGGCCGGTCTTCCGGGCGATGACGGTCTGTCAGAGGTGGGGGGGTTGAGGGATGTTGAGGGTCCGAGCCGGTCTTTTGGCAGTTCTTGTCGCCACCCTTTCGATGCGGAGTTTGCGATCTTTTTCGGCCAACCGCTTCAGGCTATCACAGGGCTTAGGATAGATCACCAAGATGTTTCAAAAAGTGATCTAACTGACTGCAGTTCTCAAACCATCACACTTTCCACGCCCTGTTAATGTGCCCCGGCCTCCTTGGTCGCCAATTGAACCGCAAAGGAACGGTCGGACTACATCCCCCTGTTTCGGCACCCGTAGGCCTCCAAATCATCGCTGACCCGACTGCAAGCGCTGGTGGAACGCGCCGACTTCCTGGCTGCAGAGGCATGGGGGGATGAAAGGATTCTTCAGCTGTGGGGCACGGTGGGCAATGGATGAATGAAGACCACAACTTGAACGTTTCGTGCATCTAATCCATCATTTCGAGCACACTTGTGCAAGCAAGTTTCGAGCGTACTCAGCCACGCAAGTTCGATCAACTTTTCCAACGTTCTGAGTGGACTCAAGGGGATCGACATCGCCCAAGGACGCAGGGTATACTCTAAATAATTAAGTCTAACCCTCTGAGTGGACGCTTGCTTCACGATGAAGGCAGAGTTAACAAGTTTGATGGAATCATTGGTGGTGCGGGACTCGGGCATCGAACTGCTGCGAAGCTCTTAGACTAAAAGTTTCAGAGGTACTGTATATGTTTGTATGAATCATTGCGTTTGTCTGTCAGACTATTTGTTTGTAGATGCTCGAAAGTAGGCCTTCTTGAGGCCACCGTTGCCCGTTACACACTATTTTCTTGAAGCAGTGGCAGATGAAGCAATGCCATGTCTCATTCACGCAAGTGATTGCGTGCCAGCATCCACGGTAGACTCAGGTTCTAGAACTCCCGAACAACTCTTACATTTGTAGCACCTCCTTCAAGATCCCTTGAAAAGTCCACGAAAACCTGATGAAACACTCGACCTTCTCACAACCCTGTTTCTCATTGTTCCTTTCTCTCTCTCTCTCTCTCTGCGTTTTTTTGCTCCCTATTTCCTTTTGTCTCTGTCTTTCACACCTTCGCAATGAACCTGTATAAATGCACCACAGTTTCCTCCTTGCCAAGGATCCTGCCAGCGCCGACGAGCGGGCGATCATCTCCGCTTCGCAGGGTGCTCGGTGGTGCATAGTGCAGCGCGCACATGGATGCATGTTGTGTTGAAAAGGGCGTGTGGGTTGTTGGCGCTGCACTAGGCCGTTGGTGATGCACATCAAAGATGAGCTGCGGCTGTACCGTGAGGCCATTTTAGACGATACGCTTTCCGAATTCCCTTCTTCTTGGACATTGCAAGAGGGGCTAAGGATGGCTTAAAGATGTGTATATATATATATAATATAAATAATCTCAAACATGTTTTCGTTCTGAATGCGTGTTTGGTGTCTTTGGTCCTGGTGACATCGGCCCCCAGCAATTTCACACATGTGGAAGTTCTGTGTGGTCCTTGCAAAGGTGGGGCAGCAGTGCAGGGACCTTGGCTTCATCAAATGCACTCAGGGTTCTCAGGGCTCCACTCATTCTTCCACATTGGAACTGCAAGGAGTTTTGGCAGTACTTTTCCACTGGTTCTGGCCTCCCGCAAGCCATCCAAAAGCTCCGGTTTAGAAGCAGTGCGAAGCAGTATAGACTAGTGTATTGAGTACATCAGAGGCACTAGGGAAAGACAAGTCAATCCAAAACAACTGTGTGCCTCTGTGAGGTGGCAGGGAGCCATGCCTAGAGAGAGAGAGAGATTTCAGTGCTCGGTAGGCAGAGGAGGCTTGACACAAGAGATTTGATAAGATTGGTCCATGTTGCTTGGGAACACCCTTTGTGTGGCTGGTTTACGTTATGCCCAGCCTTACCCACCCCAAATCAAACCCCTCTGCATCTCCCGCAAAGGTTGTCACTTCAATGAGCCTGATAGCTTTGTGGTGTACGCAAATGAGCACTTGCACCAGAGCATCCGTGGAAGCCCTGCCCCCAGCGGGCTCCACTGAAATCCGCCGTCGTGCTTCGACCAAAATCAGGGGAAACCAAGTGCGGGGGGGAGATGGCACCGCACACTGCAAATACAAGACAGTGGTCATTCCCAGTAGTGTTTGACGGCCTCGCTATTTCAATACATTTTCGAATCATTATAAAGTTTTGTTCTTTGTTTGTTTTGTTTTGTCCTTCCTATCCCAAGATATGAGAACACCATTTTTATCCTTCTGTGCTGCAGCCGACCTCCGTCATTGCACGACGATCCTGTACGACAATTCCGCTGCAGTGTTTTTGAGCTTGGATCCGCATGCAATTCCGTATTTTTCTTGTCTCTGAATCGATCAATGAATGATTGATCGTCATTTGGGGTCCCTCAAGCCAGTGTTCTGGCATGTTTGCCAGAGAGGTGTCTAGGAGTCTAGCATAGGGGAACGGACATAATGACCTTCTGGATTTTTATACTGTAATATTTTATAATCACTTTTTTCTTCTGGTTATTTGCGATTGAGGTGCATCAATTGTATGATTGTACTACGGTGACGTTCGTAGTCTGTAGGGCACATGCACATTCATCATTTAGCCCACCATGTTGGTCCCTAACACGACGTATTCAATACACTAGAGCAGCTGGCCACAGGATGAAAACACTGTCCCCTTTGGGTATAATACAAGAGGAGCCGCAATTGTTGGGGAAGCTGGGGCACTTCAGAATTGTCCATCAACATGAATCTAAGCTTAGGGAGATGTTTTAATTCAGGGACTTCTCGCAGTTTCCAAGGGAGCTCCCATGCATCTCAAGAGCCAGTGCATTTGGTATCGCATTCCGTGACAGATGGTGGGCATGTTACCCCACAGGCGTATACAGCTTTCATACGAGATGATTTTGGTTGATGTCCTCCAGTCTGTGAGGCTTCGACCGTCACAACCCACGCGTCTTCCACTATCACTTGCGCCCGGGGCCCGGGCACAGGAGACGTATGGGGGTGGAGACGTATGGAAATCAGTGCTTTCCGATGACTTGAGGGATGATGGTCTTTAAGGACATTTTGTATTCAGCCGGACGCCGTGATTTATACAAAGTACTTTCGAGCCTCCATAAAAAGGACTTGGACCCAACTCAACAGATAAAAGGACCACTAGGTACAGAGTCTGGTTACCAGAGCATTCATGGAATTCACATGAATTCATTCATAATTCAAGTCCAGATTCTACTCCATCCTCCGTCGACCAGTACAAGTTCTATAACGTCCAAATTAATCATGACTTGATTTGGGATGAAGCTGTCCACAGGTACCAGGAAGAATTCACAGAGTCATTCCACCTGAAATCATGTCCAAAAGGCAGAGAGGTCCGTTAGGAGCCTCCCGCTCCCAATGGTTCACCTAAGGCATGGTCTTCCCGCTTCAGCTCGCGCACGTCTTCAGCGTGGCTTTCGAGGAGGAGCTGTCCACTGAATGGAACAGTGCGCGATCGTGCAAGGGATGGCAGGATCTTTGGGAGAGCCAACAGCTTTGGCTCATGAAGGCCAAGCCACAAGCTGACAGAGGAAGCCAGTGACAGGTTCTGAAGTTCGGACACCCCACGGCCCGAGGCGACAGTTCTGATGTTGGAAGAAGGATGAAGAAGGGATGGACTTGCATGATCGAAACCCTGGGTTTCGAAGGGTGCATCCTCAGTTCCAATCAGTTCCACTTCCTAGAGTCCTAGAGGTACCCCCCCCCACCCACACACACATACTTATAGATATGCGTACGGACATGACTGCGGTGCCACACGCCGGCCTAGGTTACCATTTCCTAAGAGAGTACAGGTAAGAACCATCGAGGCCTGAGGTCTTCAAAAGGAAGAGAGGCTCAAAGCGCAAGAAACAACTCGACGATCACGGGTCGAACAGGGTGATGACGTTCCGATGCATTAACACTTTACCAAAAGATTAAAATTTGCAGGTACGTCCAGCTGGCCAAGCTGGATATCCCACCAGATTGCATAGCTTTGTTAGACACGGTCTGCAATCTCGTGCCGTGTCCCCTGCAAAAGACAAAAAGCACAGTCATTACAATCCAAGTGGATCCCTGTGACTTTAAGGGGCGCACACACACACACATACACACACACACACATACATACACACACACACACATATATATATATGTACACATATACCTACAGAGAGCCTGCTATGTACTTCAGTCGATGTTGGAGGTGGAAGTCTATGTCCAGCGTCTCGTTGATGTCTCCTGATTTGCAGGTATGCTCTTAAAGGCCCCAGAGCTGATCGAAAACGAGCAGGGCCTGCACACCGTCACTTCTTCACAGGTTCGCTTGGGTTTGCTGGCCGTGGAAAAGAGCAAAAGGAGGCAAAAGGAGACGTAATGGTTTCATCACTGGGCCTATGGCATACAGATTTCCTATGGCCATACCATGCCAGACCATGCTGATTTCCGCATCCTTCGACTCGGCCCCGTCGAGTCGACCGGTGGACGTGTCCCTTGGTCCCTTGGACCGGTCGCCAGTTGTCGGCCATGTTGGGCCTTCTCAAGCTGGACGGCTCCTCAGTGCGCTGCGAGTTCACAGATTAGGTGAGAGGCCACCGCTATTAGGTTGGAGATTGTTGGAGGCCATTGCTAAAGTTCCAAGAGTTCCAACGTTGTTGTGTGGGAGAATCTCTTTTTTTTTCCACCAGATTGCTGCCCTCTCCAGTTCGTGACTTTCATGTTGAGGTCACGTCCACACTTGGCATCGCAAGCGTGTTCCGCGACAATATTGGCTGAGGATTTCCTGGACCGAACCCAGCGCTTCATTGATGTTGAGGCGCCTGGTTGGTGCGCCGCAACCTGTGCAGAAAGCGTTTGTGCGTGTTTGTCGAGTCTAAGTCTTCACCGCGCCAGAGGGGTCCTAAGTCTGACAGGTGGCAATGGAACATGCTGCTACAGTCACAGTTGATGATGACATGGGCAGGATTGTGCAGTTTTGGCCGCCAGGAGCGATGCTATTCTTGCAGCCCTTTTCAGGTGTTTAACTACCCGTTCACGTAGCACGCTCTTGCTACATGTGACCTTGACTTCAGAGTCTCCCTTGTCATGGATATGGAATCAATGAATGTGGAGGGTTCGTATGGTTTGAACATGACCCTGCAAGGGCCTTGCAGCACTCTCCAGAAATGGTGGAGACACCACACCTCCCTGAAATAATCTGAATCCAACATTGGAACATGATTTTCCCATGACTCCAATTATCTCGGCTTGACAGGGTGGAATGCTGGTGGAATACATCAAGACTGTCGAAGAAGGTGGGAGGAATCTGGGAGTGCGGTCGAGGTTCGGGCTGCTTGCCCTAGCTTTTAATCCTCTTCAGTAAACTTCGCGTGAAGTATTCTATATAGGTCTGGATGTTGACTTTAGCTTCCGTGAAGGACATGCCGTCCTCGCATCGGCTGCATAAATCAGCTGAGCCTCAGATCCTCCGCAGCCGGGCTCGAGAAATGAACTCGCTGGGCTGCCATGGGCGCATGCAATGTTTGCAGCTTAGCACACTGACTGGTGCGCGGGACTGGAGGGATGCCCAACATGAAATCTGCCATGGCTGCAGAATGCCCTCCATCAGCGCTCTCACGTCATTCAGTCAACCCGTTTCTTTCACCGTCGCGAACTGTGCATGACGCTAGAAGTCAACACTTTTGGAGACTCAGCTGACAAGCGGACCTTGAATCGATTTGAATCGTGTCGGTAGCTTGCCACCTTGGTGGGCTAAGTTGGATGAACCCCCCGATTTGGCGGGGACCATGGGGGACCATGAGGAACCTATTGAACCTATTGCAGACCGGACATAGACAGGGACGGCTTAAACATGCATGCGTTCAGAAAAGACATATCCGGGGGGGCATGCGACGTACGTCCGCCGTACGTCGTTGCTCTTGGCAAGATGGAACAACTCTCCCACCACTCGAGGCCAGTGGGCCATCCTCAGCGAAAGGCCCCAAGGCTCCGGGAGTGTCCCGGCTCCGGCGGGACTGGGGGGCAGATGGAAGGCCTTGTGCCGGAGATGGACCAGTTGGAGTTGCAGATGGTTTCTTGGTTCTTCAGATTTCCTGTCAACATGAGAGGTGATGAAAGATGCTACCTCCACTTCATCTTCTTCCTTTGCCGCTGCCCCTGCGGCCTTACCTGAAGCTGCCTGAGCCTTACCATCCTTACCTTTGAATGTGCACCAGACATGGCCTTCCTTTCCTTCTTGCATTCTTGGGCAGGACCACCCGCAGCAAAGCCACCTGCCAAAGCAGGAGCCACAATGTGGCAACGTCCGGTTGCCCTGACATGTGGACGTGCAAGTCCAGATGTCCAATCGCTCGGAAGATGTGATCCGCTGAGGAAGTCCAGATGGAGGTTTAACATAACATTGCCTAACCGTCTAACATCGTCTAACCATGCCCAACCTCTGCATGCTGAGAGGACATCCCAGCTTGTAATGGGCTCCCTGTAGTTGATGAAGCCCCCACCCCCTAGAATAATGGGCACCGTTGGGTGCTGCTTGGAAGGTGCACGAGTGGGGTCGACTACGTCCAATTGCGAACAAGGAAGTGGAGAATCTCAATCTCTAGTGTGGATGAAATAGGCAAGATATGGCAAGATTGATTATCTTCTGACTAGCAGGCCGCTCCTAGCTCATGACCCCCCACAGCAGCATCACACCCTTGGCCCCTACTTGCACATTCCTGCATGCCTTTACAAGCTTCTTGGCTTGCAAAACCTCATCCAGCGCACCGCGTTTCAGGGAATCTATCTAGATTGTGTGGACTATTCCCCCAAGTTCTAGTCAGAACAATCAAGAGATTCAAGAGATGATCCCGATAGACTCAGAAGTCCTTGTCTCAGTCCGACTCATCGAACCCGACTTCGTCGAGGAGAAACTGCGGGAGGCCAATGCCCTACAGCGTCCCAAGACGGAGCTCCATACCGAGGGAAAGGTCCCCGAACCCTTCCAGGCAGGGCCTGTGGTGCTGATGTGGCGCGGGTTCCGCCTTTCCCTTCTTTTTTTGGGGTTGTGGGGTTCCAAGCTCCTGCCGCAGACTCGAGGCCAAGTCAGAGGCTGACGCTGAGAAGAGGCGTTTGGCTGAACGTCAAGAGCGGCTTCTGCTGAAGGTGCGATGTGACGAGGAGGCGGGGCATGCCACGTTGACGACGCCAGTGCATGGGATTCGATGCAACAGTGACCGCTGAAGGCTCCAAAAAAGGATTGGATACTGAAGTGGAAAGACTGGATAGAACTGTGCCCAGGGCGCGGCGCATCCATTTCACGCAGCTTTCGATTGGAGTAGGTCCAGCTTCAGCCTTTGAAACAGCACCTCACTGCAGACTCAACCCCTGAAAACTCCAGCCAGGCAGGGCCAGAGGAGAAACTGCGCGACCCGCGTTGCCATTCGCGTGGCCTGGATCAAAGAGCGCGCGGACCACAGGCGTATGGACCTTTCGGATGTGACCCTGGGCGGTTGGGTGCATCGCAGAACCATTCCCATCAGATGTGGCCCACATTCCGGTGGGTTGGCCCATTTTAGAGCTACCGTGTTGCCCACATGGGCAGGTGGTTCGTGTGACTTTATCCCGTTTTTCTCCAGAAAGGTGTTGAAAGTGCATATAGAACGTTGTGCCCAAACAGTGCACTACCTAGTGAACGCTAAGCTGGTTCGCGAGCGTTGTTTTGAAAGGGGTATCCTTTCGCGACCCCGCAGGAAAAAAGGTAAAAACATAAAAAAATTGATTTTTACCGGTTTTACCGCGGATATGGTAGAAGAAAAAGGAGCGCCCCCCGGTAAAAACGGTAAGACAAATAAACTTTTTGATTTTTATCGTTTTTACCGCGGATATGGTAGAGAAAAAGGGGCGCCCCCCCGGTAAAAACGGTAAAAACATGAAATTTTTCGATTTTACCGTTTTTACCGCGGATATGAAATTTAAACATGGAGCGCCCCCAGCAAAAAATATTTAAACAACATAACAATTTTTACCGTTTTTGCCCGGGAGATGGTAGAAAAGAAAAGGACAAGTCCACCTACAAAAACGAAATAACGCAACTTTGATTTTTAACGATATGGTAGAAGCAAAAAGAGCAAGCGACTCTTCATTAAAAAAGGTAAACAACAAAAGTAGTATATAATTTTCACTTTGGACCGTTTTTACCGCGACAATGCCTCGGGACCAGGTCGCAAGCTAGAAGACCTCTGTCAACAAACAGGTTTAATAAGGTTTAATGTTACAGCCCGGGTATCTTCCTACAATCAGGTGGGGTTCACTCCTCCTATCATATAGGAGCGTGTGCCCTTTTCGACAAGAGGAGTTTGGTGATTGATCAACATTTCATGACTTTTAACTTTTGCACGGCAATGAAAGCCTACATCACTTGGATCGAAAACTGTCGATTTGTACCTACCGCGGATATGGCAGAAGAAACAGCGGTGACCCTCCGTTAAAAACAGAAAAACAACATAGACCCGTTTGCCCCCCTCGATCAAAACGGTACAAAAAGAACAAACATTGATTTTACCGTTTTGATCGCGGATATGGTGTTGAAAAAGGAAGCGCCCCCTGGTAAAAACGGTAAAAAAGAATCGATTTTTGCCGTTTTTACCGCGGATATGGTAAAAGAAAAAGGGCCGTACCCCCCCGTGAAAACGGAAAAAGCAAAACGGTATTTACCGTTTTTACCGCGAATATGGTAGACAGAAAACGGGACGCCTAGAACAAAAGGAGCGCCCCCCTGGTAAAAACGGTAAACCATGCAAATGTTCGATTTTTACCGTTTTTTTCCGCGGATATGCTGAAAAAAAAGGGGTGCCCCTCCGGTAAACACGGTAAAAACAGAAAATGTTCGATTTTTATCGTTTTTACCGCGAATATGGTAGACGAAAAAGGGGTGCCCCCCCGCGGGGGAAAGCGGTATTTTTTTCGATTTTTACCGCTTTTACCGCGTTTGTCTCTTGATCGCCCCAGGCTCGTGCTCAAAACAAGCAGACACGATTTGCTTCGTCCTTTGAGTGCATGGCTGCTCCGTTCAACAAGATATGTGATCACACCAGAGAGCGATGCATTTCCTGCAAGAGAATCATAGGAAAAATGTTCAGAACAGGGTTTGCCAGATGGCCAGGTATTAAAATCCCTTTTGCCAGCTGTCGCCTATCCCAGTACTTGTTCTGGAACCCCATTGCCGTTCGGATTTGTGTCGGGCAATTCAAGGCATAGAGGCCGCAGAGACCAAAGAGGCCAAGGCTGAGATGAATTTGAAGGAGGTGAAAGGAGGAGCTGTGATGGAGGAGAAGCTCCAGGAGCTGAAAGGGTAGGGAGGAGAGGATCAATGGAGGATGGCAGAGTCATTCACTTGCAATGGTGACTACTGGGCCCTTGGTAGGGGTAAGATGACCAACCCCCATGCCGAGTTCTGACCATGGCGCACATGATGTGGGGTGTTCATTTAGGCAGATTTAGGTACCCTCCCTCAGACAGAGGTTGAAGTTGAAATTCCACGGGCCATGTCTCCATGTTTTCGGCGATTTTGTTTGAGGGGTGGACATTATAGGTTTCTAGGCGGGTTTCATGTCTTTTCTCGACATCCAAAGGCCAATCCATGAGTTTCTTTCGCCAGGAGCGGCCACTGGGCAAGGAGGTGCGGGCTTGCCTGCTTGGGCGAGGGGGGCAGGCGGCACCCGCTGACACCAGAACTTCTTATGATAGGGAAGCATCAGATCGACTAAACCTGCCTTGCCGCCAACATGTGTCTTGTGCGAATGTGCTTCCTGGAGGCGCGCTCAGGTGGAAGGTGATGGATGTTGCTCGAAATTTTTAACATGCTGTCCCATGGTCAAGCTTCACATCCACCAGAAGGTGCTACCACTTCGGGTTGATCAGTGAAAGGCTGCAGTCCTTTTTGGGGACATAGGATTGGCTGAGGCATTCGTCAGCACTTGTCATGGATGCTTGGTGGCCAGCTGACCGTAGAACTGCGCAGCATGAGCGGCAATCCTTCGATTGTTTGGACGAGAGGACCGGGCTTGGCTTGGAGCTCCCCTCCGTTTCACCCGCCAAAGGCACCAAAATGCTGAAGCTGTGTGGTATGGTGCTTTGTCATAACGAGATCGGGCAACCATTTTCAACATCAGAGATGTGGATGTGGAAGGTCCTGTAATTGGGTCAACTTTTGAAACAACGGCACTTCCTCTCATAGTGGTTTCAAGCCTGAACTTCGACCAGAAATGGCAGATAGACGAGCTTTTGCCCTTGGCAGTGGCAGTGTTTGTAACATATTTGCTTTCGGTGAGCTACCAGCATCTTCCCCATCTTCACTACCTGAACGCAGCCGTTGGTCCAGCAAGACGGATCTCTTGTGCAGCATGCGCAGTGGCCAGGTGGCAAAGAGGTCACCAAATCTGGGTCCACTCGAACGTCCGCTTTGGCATCACAAGTGAAGGGAGAAGATCTCTGAACATCTCTTAACTCCTCAATTAACATGGACATCTCTCTGGTTCTTGCCCACTACCCCTCCTGACCCCGAGTGCCACACGTCGCTTCGTTCCGGCCTGAGGAGTGGCCAGCAGCCCCGGCTTTGAGCTGAATGGGATCAATCATAATCTTCTGCAAGCAGGGAGCCAGGGATGGGAGTCGCGGCCAACTGTTCGGTTTGCAAGTTGACCATTCGGTTTGCATGTGGGTTGAATGTGGAAGGATCCCTTCAACTCTGAGGTCTCATGTTGAACGGAGGGAAAGCCAAAATAACAGTTTGCTATACTAGACAAAAGCTGCTCCAGCAATATCCCACAGACTCAGACGAGATGGGTTCTTCTGGATGATGTGCGCTGCCAGGGGTGCTTGCAAGTGGTTCATGTGGTTTCTGTCGTCTTTCACACTCCTGCAATGAACGAACAACAAATACCCCCTCGTTTCCTCCGGGGTGAAAGCAGTTTCCCCATCGAGCTGAACAGTTCCCATGTGCTTCAGGAGTAACCTCAAGGATGCCAGCAAGGCGATTGCGGAGCCTCGGGCCTTTTTCGCGCCATCAGACCGGGGGAGGAAAACGCGTGGTACATCCACAAAAGGGCTGGATTTCATTTTTTAAATATAGTTTAATTCCATGATAATTGATAAATATAGACAATTCCCAGTTGCCCTTATTTCAATGCCGAGCTGCCTGGAGTTTGCATGGCAAGGAACCGTTCCTCTTCCCTCGTGCCGTTGTGCGGCCGGCACCTCCTAGCTTGTGGCAAAGCCAACCGCTGATCCACGCTTGGGGCCCTGGTGGTGAAACTGCTTGGAACTTGCGATGAAACGCCACCGCTGAGGTGTCAGAAGAAAGGCACTGGTCGCAGCTGGAGCAGATCTCTGAGAGCTTGCACCAGGAAGAGATGAGAAAACCGGCTTAGGTATGCGTAGTACGTAGGTGATTTCTTCAGCACAATAGATGGCAATACTGCTTTTGATACGTTGTAGAGGCAAATTCCTACACAATGCTTCAACCAACCAGCACTTTTGGGCCCTCCAGGAGCTCAAGTCTTTCCTCCAGATCTTTTCCATCCGCTTGGAGTCGCAGGAGGCCCGTTGTGAGGGTGAAAGATGGCTCAACGGCCAGAGGTTTGTGACAGGTTGGTTGGTGGGTCAAAGAGGACAGGAACTGGCCGGCCGACCGTCGCCATTCCTGGCAGGTGTTTGGCTAACAGAAGCGAAGTTTACCAATTAGTTCCAGGCCGCACGCAACAGGCGCCTATAAGCGTAAGTTGATTCCTCTTAAACTGGATTGAAGCTACCATAAGCACAGCTATTCCAAGAACACTTGCTGGCACTTCGACTCGCGCATACCTCTTCAAACCAAGAGCTAAGGCCGAGGGAAAGTTCTAGAACCATGATCTGCGGATGAATCCGCCCATCTGCGCGGATTGAATCTTCGGACGCCCCGGCTGTAGATTTTTCGGTCGCCTGGAAGCTGCGTCGTTGTAGGCTGTTGTTCCGGAGAGAACACGTAATCGTCGTAGGCAGGCGTTTTCCTGTGCAGACTCTCTTCAATCTTGCTTCACGGACCGAAGACTTCAGTTGAAAAAAACCTCCCACTCCACAGTAGACTTGGCGTCAGAAGCTACACCGCAGCTACAACCATGCCTTCCCCAGCTATGAGATCATTAAGGTCATTAAGGGAACATGCAACCGTTTCATGACCAACCATCCAGTCTGACACAGTGACCATGGCTCCATGATACCAGCCTGACTGATTGCCTTATAGCGGCAGTTGGCTCCACCAAGTGGGATGGAGACGTTCGATGACCATGGCCGACCACCCCGACACGTGCGACGCCGGCGCCGGGCGCTCGGCAGGCGGCGCTCTCCGAGGCGACCCGGGAAGTGAGGAGATCCTCGGACCGAGCCGCTGGGCTGCAGCTTTTGGGTGAGGACCCAGGTCACCGGCCGGTGGGGGAAGTGGACGCCAAAAAGGAGAAGATTTTGAGGACCAGAGGATTTAAACCAGAGGATTTTGCTGGTCATATAGTGTAAGTCAGTTTACTGGGAGATTGCTTCTTCGGAGTATGCTGATTTGGGTGTGATGAAGGGTTTCTTAGATGCGCGCAAGTGGAAAAGTGGGCTCCAAAGATTGCTTTAAACCTTCAGGCATCAGCACATGCGGAGTCACATGTGGTCTGTCGGCTGGGAGAGGATGGATGGTTGTTGCGTCACAACAGCTGAGGTGATGGCTGAATCTCGGCATGTTTTGGTGGGCCATTGGGTACAGTGATAGTCGATAGTGTTACGATTTTCTCACCATCTCCTTGCTTACTCTTGCCACCACAAATCAACAACCAAGGACCTTCAGAAAAGGTTCGACACTTTCCTGGAGCAGGCGCAGCTGAGAAGTCACAGCATGTGGTGGGATTTTCGGTGGCCTGATGCTTGTCAACATTTTGCACTCACTTTTGACTATGTTTCGTGATGTTTCGTGGATGCTGTCCAGCATTTGGCAAGCCCAACGTTGTCCTTCTGGTGATTGGGGGTTCTACTGAGACGCGCTTGATGTGCCAGGAGAGCGAACGTGCTCACTTGAGGCTGGAAAAGGCTGGAAGCAAGTCGCTGAAAATGAATCAGGGCCACACTGAAAAAGTCACAAAAACGATCAACCACGTGCTTTTCCTTCAAACATTACCCTTGTGCGAATAACCTGCCTAAAATATCCTAAAATCGGGTGTATATATATATATATATCTATCTTATGCTCAGGCCCCAAAACCCTTGCCATTTTAGACAAAAGGCACTGCAGTCAAGAACAGGAGCCTAACGCTTCTTTGACCTTTTTTAGACAAGAGGGTGTGTAAACATAATTGAAGGTCGGGGACACATATCTTATATATATATATATTTTATAATATATAAGTCAGCTCCTATGATCCTATAGAGGTTTTAGGCTTGAAGAGGTTGCACACTTGATTCTAGAACGAGTTTGTGCACATTTCTATTTGCAGCCCTTGGCTTTGCAATGATTTACAACTGCTTTTTTTGCTGTTGTTGTTGTGGCTGTAATCCTCAGGCATATTGATTTCAGAGTAGCCATGCTTTGCCTAATATGTGTTTCCTCACATGTTTGTTGATCTTGTGAGCTCGATTCCATACTACATGTATTTTCTTGGTACTACTGATTCTATACAGTTTTCTTTCTATTTCGCCTCATGTACCTAGGGTTAGGCTTCTAAAATGGTTTGCGCTGACCTACCCCCTGAAATGGAAACCGTGTCTTTCTTGGAAGCCCATTTCATCGTGCTGGCAAAGAACCAGGGATTTCATGACCATGCCTCCATGGTCATTGGCCCACCATTGTGATCGTACGCTGCACGGTGTCCTCGTCATGGAGTCAACATGGATTTGGGTGTTCCGGATTTATACAGAAGATGACCGGTGTGGCGCTGCTCCAAAAGGCTGCTGCTCGGAATGTGAAGCCAGATGAGCAGGCAGGTAGATAGCAGCGAGATATGTGTACAAGAAGCAAAAAGACCTCGCGGTGAAGCAGATTCTAGAAGATTGCTCATTTGTTCCCTGTTGGCAAGGAAACATAAAATGGAAACCTTGGTGCTGCGGATTACTACTTTGTTTTTTTGCAGCATCACTGAGTTTGACAAGACGTTCCGTTTATGGTTTATATTTTGCTATGCAATACCGACCCGGGGTCGTGAGGGACCTTTGGGGCCTTTCAAGGGGCTCCTGTGGGGCTTGGTGGTTCTAGCCCTTTGGATTCGCAGGTGCAGCAATCTCTGGAACTCCGACTGCAGGAGGCGCAGCAAACGGCTGGACGGGGTCCCACCCGCCCGCGATCACCAAGAAACACCACCCTGGATTTTACGAAAGCCAGCCGATAGGCTAGGCTTGAGCTCTTAGACCGAACGAAGTGAGTTAAGGGGGTGTGGGGGGGGTAGGCCGCGAAAAGGCACCATTTGAGAGGGAAACCCGGAGCTTGCCTGGGGAGAGCGCGTCCAAAGCGAGGGTCAGAAAAGCAGTGAAAATGGGGTTGATGATGCGAGTGATGCAATTAGTGCATCATTAGCATCACGAAGGGCTGTGGAGGCTATTTGGACAATGGGCATTGAGCACTGGAGTGGAGACAGGCACCCATGTAGAGAGCAACCATCCTAGTCTCTAGTATACTTGTACCGTTTCCTCGGTCGTCCAGGTGCACCGAACGTTGTTCCGGCTTGGCCGCGCAGCGAAATAGATACAGAATAGATAGATATTGATAGATAGATCGATTGATTGATAGATAGTGGTAGAAGCAGGGCAGTCTTGGCGGAAACCATGTCCCAGAGTGGTTGGTGCAGGAGTGTATCCACCAACCCTGGAAGTCCCATACTGACGTGTAAAACGCTTGGTTCAATAATGGCTGTGCGGCTATGTTCACAGTGGTGGCTCGACTTTTCGGGCCAATACAGTCAATACACGGTTTGGCCATTGGCTGTTGTGGAACCATGTAGCTGAGACACGTCAGCGTGCACGCAAAGGTATGAGGCTAGTTGGGTACGAACCTAACGCATGCACACCAAAACCTTGGACATCCTGCACCCCATCGCTTGAGTCAAGCTCTCAAAAGCAAGGATATCGACATGTCCTGGCCAAGCATGCACGACCGGGCAATTTACATTCGTTGTTGGACTTCAATTAAGGAAGCTATATATAGATGGTATTGACTGGACCGGCAAAGCAGGTAAAACATACCCTAGTCTATTTAGTGGCTGGAGGCTTTGTGAGCGAACGAAGTGAGCACTTTTCTTGCGCCGGACGGGCTGCTGGGAACGGTGAGACACGTCAGCGTGCACGCAAGGTATGAGGCTAGTTGGGTACGAACCTAAAGCATGCGCACCAAAACCGTGCACATCTTGCACCCCATCGCTTGAGTCAAGCTCTCAAGGTTATAGTCACGGATCTATGCAATACTTTTGGATGACGGTTCGTCTCTGTGTTTTATGTTTCTGTGTGTTTCTGACTCTTGTCTCTATGGTTATGTGTCTCTATGTCTCTGGGAAGAGAGGTGTAGCCGCGACTTATGGTTATATTTTGGGCGGATCAGTGGCATAAGCGCAAGTAAGGCACTGAGAAAGTCTCTTCGCTGTCTCTGGAGCCTTGTCTGCTCCGGAACCTTCTCCAGAACCTCTTCATGGACCTGCCCCGCAACCTTCTCCCGAACCTTCTTTGGAACCTGCCCCGGAATCTTCTAACCTGCTCCGGAACCGTTTGCCGCACCTCCTCCGGATCCGCTGCGGAACCTCATCCGGAACCTGCTCCGAAGCTCGCTCTGAGTCTGCTCCGAAGTCTTTGCTATGGCAGAAGACCCCTACGCTTCGCTGTTGGGGAATACTGCTTGGATGCATTGGGGCCAGTCAGTATGGTATAGTTGGTTGGCAGCGACGAGTGCCTATCAGAAAAGGGGCCCGCGTAGATAGCAACTTGGTGGGGTGAAGAGATTGCTGTTTGAGGATGGGTTATAGGTTATAGTCACGGATCTATGCAATTTTCTTGGATGACGGTTGGTGACACCAACGCTGAGGCATATAGTTCCTGCCATCCTCCTAGTCATCCTTTCAGAGAAGTCTGGTTGGATTGGATGTCATGGTGCTAGTATGGTAGTTGGTTGGCAGCGACAAGTTGCTATCAGAAAAGGACCCCGTGTAGATAGCAACTTCTCTGTGTTTGATGTCTCTGTGTTTTCTGACTCTATGTCTCTATGTCTCTATGGTTGTGTCTCTATGTCTCTGGGACGAGAGGTGTAGCCGCGACTTATGGTTATATGTTGGGCGGCTGGGCGAATCAAGTAAACCCAAAGTAAAGTCCCCAACAGCACTGACGTTTCTTTTTCCCGGATTCTCAAATAGACCACCAAACAGGGACGCTCCAGAGAGCACCGCGCCAGGAGAATCGAGAAAACCTAAAACATTCAACACTTCACGCTGTGCTCCGATCTTGATCTACTCCACGTTGATACAAACCCCACGAAAGCTACAGGCATTTAACAATAAGTGCTCCGCTATCTTTTTTCCCAGTCTTGCATCGCCATATTGGTCTCTCGCTGGTTTTCGTCCTCTCCTTTCTCAGGTCTGCTTGCTTTGTGGGGAGTAGGGCGGGCCTTGTTTTGTTCCCGGCACTTGAGAAGTGGCAGCCCAAAGTTCTTGTTTGAGTTGTTTGTCACCAGTGACCATCATGAGCTCTTGGTCACCACCATCGCCGGAAATCCCTCAGCAAGTCTCAGGGACTGATCAAGGGAAGTGAGGGTTGCATACTTTTCTAGGGTAGGGTGCGACGTGGCGTCAGCGCGGCGATGATTTTTTAGGAAGGTGCGATGGTTTGATTAAGGGGCACTCGAGAAGGTAAGGGTTTGTCTCTTCTGTCAGATCTCCTTACCCAACCAACCGATTCGCCATCGCTGCGACACAGATGGAGAGCCACCTTTCATCCCAAGTGATCCTTGGTAGCACAAGGTGATCCCAGGATGTCCCTGATCCCTCGAAGACCTGGGGTTACTGGACGAGTTGTGCAGCTGCGCATGAATTGATTTTGCCCGTGTGGCAATGTGAAATCCATCAAGGGAGAGTGGTTTGTTAAGGGCTCCCAGCATCTATTTGTGATTCAACTTGCACAGTTCCCATGATGGAGGCTTCTCCAGACTTGTGGCGCCCCTCTTTTGATCCGCAGTGATCGGCGCCAGATGTGGAGACCAAGGTTGTCAGAGACCAGCCGTCTTTGGCAAAGACTCGAGGAGCGCTTGTCCTCGCCCCTTGGCAGCTTGGTTCCCTTTGGGGAGCACACCATCAACATGCTTGTGCTTTTACAGCAAAATCTGTTTCGGGACCATTCCTATACTTTTCTCATCCTTTCCAATTGCCCTGCAGAAGAAACACTCTCCTTTGTTATGCATGAATTACGGCAGACTTTGGCGCTCACAAAGAGCCAGATTTCATGGCACGACACCAGATATGTAACCCAGAAGAATGCGGTCCAACCTCTCTGACTGTTCCTACAGGAAGCCAGCCCCTACGAGCGACGCTGCAGAACAGCTCCATGGCCGCATCTGCATGGCGCAAACGACGCCGGGATACAAGGATAGATGCAATGTGGTGGATTATAAGTGCCAGTCTTACTTGGAGACATGGACCAATTCTTTTGGAACTGTGGGGAAGAGAATGCAGTGAAGATGACGCATATGATCGCATATGTATACATATATATATAGATTACAAGTCTAAGTGCAGTATGATTTTGTGTTTTGTTTGCACTGATTCAGTGCCATAGATTCACGTAAAGGCCGTTGCCGTTGCCGTTGCCGTTGTTGTTGTTGTTGTGGTTGTGGTTGTGGTTGTCGTTGTAGTAGTGGTAGTAGTAGTAGTAGTTGTTGTTGTTGTTGTAGTTGTAGTTGTTGTTGTTGGAAACAAAATTAACAGCCGCCCAACATAATTGTCACATGTTGCAACTTTGGAACTTCAAGGGGCCAAGGTTAGGGATACGGTTGAAGGTTTGAGAGAAAGTTGGTTTCGTTAGTAGGCGGACTTGTTGGACTTGTTTCACTGAGGTCTGGGCTGGTCCGTTTTTAGTGTTTTTGAGGTGTTGTTCTGGAGGGGGGGCAAAAAACAACAACGGGGCTGCAGTCTTTGTTTCTAGGAGGGGGTTAGAGTCGGGTAGAGACAACAACACCATTTTAAAGGGGGCCCAAAAAACAACAGCGCGGCTGCAGTATTAGTTTCTAGGATGTGGTAGAGGTTCTAAGTAGAAGTTTTACAGAGGCTTTGCTGACCAGATGCTACTACTACTACTACTGCTGCTGCTGCTACTACTGCTACTACTGCTACAACAACAACAACTACTACTACTACTACTGCTACTACTACTACTACTACTACTACTGTTACTGTCAAAAAACAACGACGGGGCTGCAGTTTTTGTTTCCACCCCCTTGTAGAGACAAAGGAAGAATATATGTTGCAACTGGGGTGCAATTTTTGTTTGTACCTTGTTGTTGTTGTTGTTGCTGCTGCGCCGTTTGTTTTGCAGAGCTCATTGCTTCAGACGTTTATAGCTCCCTGCAGATCTGCCCTTTTGGGGGTGGAATTTCATGGCACCACCCCAGGTGTTTTAGTCCGACTTCCCCCCCCGTTTTGGCGCAGGGCGGTCCGGGTGCATGGCCCGGACACTGGGCTTCGCCGAAGCCTTCAGTCCCTGGAGGAGCGCTTCAGCGCGGCACAAGCACGGCAGACGCGCAGCGAGATGACCGCGCAGCAAGCCTTGGCGCAGGCGATGGAAGTGGCCACTCTTCTGGGCCCGAAAGTGGCATGCAGCAGGGTTTTAGAGGTCTCAGGGTTTTCGATTTATAGTGACTATAGTGTTTTTGATGTAATTATTACTTATGCAAGTGCTGCCAGCAGAGGAATCCAGCAAGGCCCCTGGTCGTGGCAAGCGCAGGCAAGACAGCTGGAGGCGATTCTCACGGAGTTCAATGTGGAGGATCATTCTTTCCAGGGCCGGATGGAGCTATATTGAGCCGGTTTAAGTTGACTTTCTTTTCAAGGTGGTCATGTGAATCCTGGCTGACTGCTAGTGAAACTTCAGAACCTGGTCTGTTTTTTGTCTGTGATTCAAGATGTCTCAAGACTACCCGAAAGTTCAGATTATGCTGCTGCACCCCTTGGATCTATATGCTCTGAAGTATGGTTTTGAATGATGGGCAGGATCATGCATCCTTCCAGACCTTGTCACGACAAGTTCGGCAAATCTCGAAGACATTGGCAGACGCTTCCAGAAGTGTTCCTTGGACTTGCAGTCGGGATGTGTGCCCCAAGAATTGAATGCCATCCAACCAACCAGCCCTGCTTGTTGTCATACAAACCACAACGCCCACAACATCCCCGGCTCCTTTTGCTAGCTGGCGTCCGTTTGGTCTTTTCATGTTTGTTCTTTTTAGTGTCGTTCCAGTCTTGTGGGACCCTTTCGAAGGTCAGTGTGCATGAGGGGTCTTTACCATCCATCGCCGCAGACAACCAAATAAACCCTAGCACAATATGAGGCAACAAGACTTGAAGGATTGAAGGCACCTCCTACGGTGTATGCGCAAAGCATTCAATATAGTATATAGCATATTCACAAATCAATAGACAATATCAATGCAGGTTCAGTACCTACCACTACAGCCAACTTTGATCTAGAGTACTCCTTGTGTCTCACTTCGAGTCCTTGGGGAGGACATGGGTGGATGGGTGACGCGATGCAGGATATTTTGTGATCGGCCGCATGTTTTCAATGTCGGATGACGCTGCAGCCCACGGTGGACAAACAAACATGTCTAGATCAAGATCTCGAAGAGATAGAGAAGTGACATCCCAATAAACCTAGGTGTCTTCCGAGACTTTCGCAGCTTTTCAGACCAACTTCTTTGCCTTGGAGCGTGAGGTTGGTGGGCAAGCCACATGTCACGTGAGATGAGACTTCAATGGATCTACAATCCTGTCCTACTTTCTATCCAGCAACTACTTGTGCAAATCACGGTCCAAAGAAAGGACTCCTTGTTACATGACATCATGTCACAATTTTTGTTTCCATGGTCATGCAGAATGCGAGAGGAAGATTCCAAGTGTTAAGCGTTAAACAACTCAGTTGCTGGCTTTTGGTTTCTGATGGTTTCAGTGTCAGGTACACTGGGACCTTGCCGTGCGCCTTGCAAGCTTGGAGGAGTGATGCAGTCCCTACGCCATGCACTCGCCGGTTTCTTTTTCTCACACACCGGGGGAGAGAAACCTGGCTGCATGGCAGCTTTAAGCTCTTCACATGTCTAATTGTAATTGCTGAGGAAGAGGACCTGCATTTTCTACATTTGAGACACGTTGTGCCAGGACATGCCTGGCTGAGGTGAAGATTTCTGGGAAGGCTTAATGTGAACTCTTGATCAATTGGACATCCATTTGGAGTGTACAATCTCTTTACTTTTTTCAATCAATCAAGAGTTTGCATTACAGTCGTTGGGCGGTACTTGAGATGGTATTTGAGGCCTGGAAAACATGGGACACTCAGGAGACTGCTGCCAACGCCAGCTCAAAAGGAGGCTGGATGCGAAAGGGAGCCAACGCACAGCATGGGTGAAGCACTCACCGAGATCTGATCATACATCAGGGTGTTTTGGCAGCTTTTCAGCAGGGTGTTTTGCATGCATGCCGTTCTTTCTGCTTTCTTTCATCCGATGAAGCGGTACACTTCGTCAGTGAATCCAGTCACCAGTGTTGCGGACAGACTTAGCAACGTACTTGTGCAATGTTTGAATCTTTCGCCCCGTCACTACCATACCTACTGTATGGAGGATGCAAGATTTTGATACGGCCCGGCCAGGTGCTTCCAAGGAGGTGCGCCTGCCAGAGCCGCTGCGAGGCACACCAGATGGTTTGGGAGTGACACTAACTGCGCTGTTGCATGATCAGTCCAACTGGTGTAGTATGATGTCTTTTTTCGTCGCACATCAATACAAATATATATATATGTATAATTTCGCATATTAATTTGATATGCACACACAATATATATATATATATGACTGACATCATCCTAATATCGCAGCTTAACTGGCTATGATAGACAACTGCTTGGAACTGATGGATGATTTGGGGCGGGCACGTGAAATCCAGGGGATTCATGGCGTCCCGGCTGCTTTGCAGGCAGTTCCTTCTGTACGTCGATCATTGGTTTGGACCCCCCCTTCCCTCACAAATCGGCTTTTGCAGGCCCCCCAGAGCGGTAGCCGTTTGAAAGAACACCTGCCCGAAACGGAAGATGACCCCGAGAGAAATATGTGCTGAATGATGCTGAATGCATATGCGGTGCTACTCTATAGAATACAGTGGTTTCAGAGTAGATGGCACAGTCCCCGTTTATGGTGGTTGATGGTGGTTCATATGGGTTCGTATAGAAAGCTTCTTGGAAACCGTGCCATCGGTTTCTGAAACCACCGGTCGTCTTGACTGTTGTGTCGCTTTCCCTCGCTGGGCAGGACCTGCCGACGTTTGCCTCGTCGGCGCCGATGAGGGTCTGCATTTCGCAGATGGGACTGTGGATGCCTGGCGAAATCCATGGCGTCCTGGTAGCCACATCAACAGCAGGATTATTCTGCAAGAGGAGCAACATCGAGAATTATCGCTCGAGCTCATTTTTTGGCAGGCGAGTCATGTACACCATTTGATTCCGCAACACATGCTTGCTCCTCGATGGGTCTTTCAGGACTTGTTTGCCTTTCCGGTCCAGAAAGTAGAAATGGAACAGCACAAGAAGACGAGGATACCTAGACTGAGACACCCCGCTCGAGCTCACTCTAGTTTGAGGTTGAATCATGATTGAACTGATTCATCAGTTTTTCTCATGGCTGCCCCATCGGTCAAAACCAATCACAAGAAGATTCACTCCAGATTTGATTCCAGTAGAGCCAGTCCACTGCGACAACCCACATGGCGAAGAACGCTTGACTGGATTCATTTTTCTCTCTCTCTCTCTCTATATATGTATCACGCTTATATAACTCCTCATTTCATTTCACAAACGTGTTGATCTCTTCATTTTTGCGCGACTGATCGTTCGGTCATGTTCAGTTCTCCCTGGCAGAATCGCGAGAGAAACCGCAGCACATCAGTGGGAGTGGGTGGGTTTACTGAGGGTTGGGACATTGTTTTCTGGAGGTCCCTGTGCCCGTTTTCCGTAAGAATCAAGAACGACCTATTTCGTATCCCCAAACATGCGCCACAAGTCTTCCCCCCATGCAATCTGGCAAATGTAAGGAGAAGAGCCGCGCAATGCGAGAAGGCGTTCCTGCAGTCCACCAAGACACTTGGAGAACTTGTGGTGTTGGGCTCGAGGTTTTGAAGCATCAGCCGCATTAGCTGAGCTGTTTGCCAGACCCACAGGAATGTTGGACTTTCCTTTATGCCAATCCGAGGGGCAGACATTTTGACCTTGATGCGAACATCTGTGAACTGTAAGCTGCGATGTTCTCTTGACCTATGCTGCTTGAGTAGTAGTTTGACCGCCTTGATTCTTTGCACAATTCACGAGCTCGCAGGCTGGGATGATCAAGTGATGTTAAGTGAGAATATGGGTGTGTTTTGAGGACAGGAGAGGGACCAGAAACATCATCAAAGACCATTTATTAAAAGCAACAACCACCGTTGACGAAGTTTACTGAAGAGAGAGAGAGAGAGGTCCTCCTCAATTCTAGTGCCACCCACCTTGATCGAGCTTGTGGATTCACTTTCTCTGAGGCCAGCCCACCTACACCAAGGCCAGCCCACCTTCGTCCTTCGTCACGACCAGCCTTTCGGCCCGCGCAACGCATTGCGCGCTGGGTTCACCGGTCAGGAGCGGCCCACCGTCGCCGGCCAGTCGGACCAGCCGTGAGGGCCCACGAGTCGCCTTTGATCGCCTTGGGGGGGCCAGATGAGCCCAGCAGATGAATGCAGATGAAGCCAGACCCTTCCATCACTGGAGGTCCTTCTGAATGGTCAATCATTTCCCCTTTTCACCTACTATGGTTACTATATAAGTCTTCTCATCATGCACGTTCCTACTTCTCAAGGCTCCTGTTACAAAGGTCTTTGGTTGGAGGTCTATGCCATTCAGCTTTTTCTTGTCCAGATTTAGACAATTGGATAATTGTTTCTTCAAGGTTGAAAAGCATTTGAAGGGATGTCTATAACTTAGCCGCTAAAGCCTTTGCACTATTTTGGGGCAACCCCAGAAAAAGTACGACCGGGACCTGGTTAAAGTTCAGATCTACAGACCGATTGGAACCTGTTATTAAGCCCGTTGCGCCGTTGCGCGAACATTATCCAGTATATATTATATATATATATATGGCATCAAACATCTAAAACTCCACGCAGACAGATGCACATTGATTGAAGCTGCAGATGCTTCCTGCAGAGCAAGCACAATGCATTTGCATCTATCATAACTTTCCGAGAGGGCTCAGTCCTTATGACACACTTCCAATATGTTTCACATTTGCCATTCTGCAAGTTACTGTGTCATCCATCTAGCCGAGCCTATGCCCCCTCGGTACTCACAAGTATTGATTTCAACGAAGTGCGATAAGGACCCCTCCGACTTGGAAGCAGATGAAGCTAGCTGGCTAGGATGCTCCACGCGCAACGTCTGTCAGAGACTTGCAGCACAATGCTTTTTGGGCGTTTTATGGCTCCAAGCCAGGCAAGGCCAAAGGAATGCCACTGCCGAAAAAATGTCATTGGTTTGAAAAGATGCCCTTGGGTGTTTGGGGTTTTGAGGTGGTGGTCAGCCTGCAAAATCGTTGCACAAGACTACTTGGCTTGGAGGTCTGACATGAGGACAGATGGGTGCTTTCTTAGTGGCGGGATTTCATTGAAGCAGTCAATGTGAGTGCATTGTGAGTTGCAGTTGGGAGTTTGTCCAAGTTTTGCACGACTGTGCCACCCAAAATGGGACGCCTGCACCACTATCCTTAACCCGCTTTCAACCATAGAGTGCTATGCAATACGCTCGTCATCCCAAGTCCAAAGGTAAGACAGACTATGATAGACTCTAGACCGAGGCCCGGCGTTCTGGATTTGATTTTAGAGCCACACCCACTAGCGACACACACTGAAGACCAATTGACTTCACGCCAGGTTATGATTGCCACCGTCCACCCACCAAGGGCTTCAAACGCGCAGAGAACGATGTCAAGAGCCACTCAGCCGATGTGTGATGGGCAGTGATCTTCGGTTTGGCTTTTTTTAAACCACTTTTTTCTGCTTTTTGGCATACGGACCCTCTCGTACCTTTTTCGATCGCTCTAAATTGACACTACCTGGTGCAATCAGTATAAAAGCGTGTCAGGTCCCCTGATGTTGTGCATCGGGACACTGCAAGTGTGCATGTCAACCAAGATGAGTCGAAAGTCGGTCTAACGTGGGTCTAGCGCCGGTGTGTGTATGTGTCACAAGGAGCGTGGGTCTAGCGTGGGTCTAGCATGTATGGTCTAGCGTGGGTCAAGTGTCACATGTCAGACCAAGAGCACGTGCCCGTGTTGGATGCCGAGCCAGTGTGTGCTTGTTGCATCTTGTTGCAAGGCATTTGGGCAGCCTGTGGTCCAGCCGCAATCCCAGCTTGAAACGACATGTGCTGGGCCAACTCGCCACAATATATCAGTAACCCAGGCCCATGATTTCACTTGGTTATCTGGGCACAAACCCCCAAAACGGCGCTATCATCGACTGATCCATGTACTTTTGATTGTTTTTGACCTCCCGAGCTGTTGTGCAGCATACTGAGGACAAGACCCTCCTCCTCCAGGCTGCGGCCTTTGTCGGTTTCGGGGCTTTTCACTCCTATAGTCAACAAAGTGGAGGTAGGTAGAGTCAGGGAGAACCCTTGCCTTGACAGCACGTTGCACTGTGAGGCGGGCACTGTTCAGCTGCCAATTCCTGTGACGAAGTGGTTAGCAGCATGCTCGGCAGGTGCGAGAGTCTTCAAAAAATCAGATCTGCAAAGTTCCCAGATGCTCCTATAGACAAATCAAGACATATCATGGGCTACTGCAAAAAAACGATTGTAATCCTGGCCTGAGAAGAGGCAGTTGCAAGCAAGGATGCCTGGTTTTCTGGCCTCAAGGTATCTCAAGGTAAGAGAGCATCTTGCGTTACCATTGATGCGGCATCGCCATGCATGGCCATGCACCGCCATGCATCGCCACATCCTGTCGCCCCACTCGACCACAGTGCAGTGCATGTCATCAGCGAAATCGCTTTATATGCATGTGTGAGCTTGTCAAGATCCTGCTCACCACATAATTTTTTCCAAGGCCATATCGATTGGCGGGCTGGTTGGCCGACATTTGGTCAGCAACATGGCTGGTGCCTCAGATCCCATGTGAGTCGAAAGAAGAAGTCCTAGACAAAATTGAAGAGTGGTTGAATACGGTCGGTGGTTTCACACTTCTTATATCGTCTTATTAATAAGTCATATTATAATTACTTAGTCTGAACCTTCACTTGCGATGATAACCATAGTGATAAACAATATGTATATATATATATTATATATATATATTGTATATACTGTACTTAGACAATATAGACTTCAGTTGCGCTGAAATCACATCATTACCAGCTTCCTGAAGGATTCTTGGGGTGGTAGTGGTAGGTGGATGGACCTCGATCAATTGCGAAATATTCCTTGGCATTTTTCTACTTGTGCCAAGATCAATTCTATCAGTGAAAGAATTGGTTTAGGTGAAAATCAGCGGCAAAACATGGTTTTCATCCTCAATTCTAGGAATCAGCCTCATTCAGGGTTGCTTGTCACCTGGTCTTGTCGGCCTACCGTCCTGTGTGGCAAGCCTACAATGCTGAAGTACAATCTTACGGAAAGCTCAGAATTAGGTCAGAAAGGCCTCTGACATTCAAACGTTTCGACGAGATTACCCTACTATCAAGAGCATCTCATCCTGAAGTCTTGATTTTCAATTATTTGGTGGGTTCCTTCAGATTTGTTTGGGAGTTCTGTACCTTCTTTACCCGCTTCCCATGTGGGGGCAGGGGCAGGAGATTGCTGCGGACTTGGCATGTTGCGTGAAGTATCCGGAGTGGTTGACACCCTGATGTCAGGAGGTTTTTGTATTGTTTTTGTTTTTCAGTGAAGCCGTTGACCTGACTTCAGGTCAAGACTGCACAACGAGCCACCCAGCCGGGCAATCCTTGGGACAAGGCCCGGGGTGACCGGGTTGATTTCAAGAACTACGAACATGGATGAACCTGGCAACCAACCAGGTCGTCATAGTGACCATCCAGAAGCGTCTCCTGGCACACGTCCGAACGAAGCTCTAACCACGATGCTGCGGCACACACTTCGATCCACGCTCGCAAGAGCTAAATCAGTTTGGAACTCCAATCTAGTGATTACATTACCGGCTGAGAGCGCTGGGCAACCTGAGACCTGGGAAACAGCCCTGAGAGGGAACGGCAAGGACGGCAAGGTGAATAAGTCCGAAACAATATTGTTTACATCGCATGGTTTAAAAATTAAGGAACATGCGCAGGTACGTTTACACCCAGGTGGGGGGTCCACGTGGTTCCGGCTTCCTGCTTATCTGTGCAGCTTGAAACCTAGAGGCCTGGATTAAGGTGGAATTAATTAATGTGGTCGTGCTCCTTGAAAACAGGAGTTGGCACACACAAATATAGCCGTATCGGCGCTCCCTTGATTGAAGAGTTGGCCTGAAACTTAAAAAGCCTCTAGCAACGAAGGAACGACCTAGAAAGAGAAACAACGAAGGAGAGAAAGCAAGACCGTGCATGAATTACTCAGTGTGAAACTTCCAGGTGAATACATTAGCCGCATGACATGAAAGGAACCTAAATTATGCATAAAAAGCCTCTAGCAACGAAAGAAGGCCGAGAAAACGAAGAGAAACAACAAGAAAGAAAACAAGAAAACATCAAAGTGAATACACTAGCCGCTGGGTGAAACGTACAAGCGAATACGTTAGCAGCATGGCATGTCATTTTCTTAAGTATATGTCAGTGAGTCCTGCGGCAATTGAGAAGCAATCTCAAGAAAGGACGAATGACCGGTAAGGATCAGGCAGAGCTGAAAAACCTGTGAACAATTCCCCTGAAGGGTCTATGCTCAAAGCGCCCCGAAGGGATCACACAGCACGCCACAGTGGGACGATGCTGCGGCACACACTTTGATCTATGTTCGCAAGAGCTAAATCAGTTTGGAACTCCACTCTAGTGATTACATTGCTGGCTTAGATCGCTACGACCTGATACCTGAGAAACAACCCTGAGAGGGAACGGCAAGGTGAATAAGTCCCAAATAATATCGTTTACATCATTTGATTGCAGCTCCACTCTAGTGATTACATTACCGGCTGAGAGCGCTGGGCAACCTGAGACCTGAGAAACAGCACTGAGAGGGAACGGCAAGGTGAATAAGTCCGAAACAATACTGTTTACATCACATGGTTTAAAAATCAAGGAAAATGCGCAGGTACGTTTACACCCAGGTGAGGGGTGTGTTTGTTGGCCGGAGGCTCCCCACGTGGTTCCGGCTTCCTGCTTATCTGTACAGCTTGAAACCTAGAGGGATTAATGTTCGATCCTGATTAGTAAAGGGGGGTCCCCCCCCCTGTGTTTAGTAGGGTCCTAGGTCCCCCTAGGCGTGTCTACGCTATACTTGTGTAGCACCTGTTCTTGTACATACACTAGTCTGTAGCTCTTCAGTCCGCTTTCGACATAATTCATTTGGCTCAAGACTCAAGCAGCCCAATACTGCATTCACTGCCATACAAAAGGTGTGCTTCGCCGCAGCTCGCGCACCGACCGCACTTGTTTGACTGCTTGGTGTTTCGATCAGGTCCAGTTAAGCCAACTGCCACTTCTGGGGGAACTTACCCCTCAAAGTGGTAGCGGAGCTTGT